TCATTTGTAAATTAACGTCAAATATAACACATAAAGCGCTGCAGTGAAGTACCTTGACTTTCCACTGGAGTGCAGTACTTGTACTTGTACACCAGATGTACTCTGTATTCTGTTTCTTTCAGCGCAGCAGGACAAGTTTTAAAATGAGCTTCAGCGCCGTCGTCATGGTTACGCTCTTTGTCCCCCAGAGACTCGTCCTGGAGTATAGAGTGGATTTTATTTTATTACCCTTTTCCTTTCTTTGTTGCAATGATTTCATTTGGTTTCAGGAGACTGAATGTATATAATATAATAATAAAAAGATAATCCCGACTGCTGATGGAGAGAAATGTTTGTTAATATCTGACCGTTTACAGCAGAATGAGGACGTACTTTATTGTGATCATTTTTTTCAGGTACAATAACGACGTTATTAAGAGATTTAAAGTTAAAATCGTTCCTCTTTCTGTTTGATCTGATTTTTTGGGACCGTTGCTGCTGTCTGTGTTTTATTTTGGCGGTGCATTGAGAGACTCCATCACATTTAACACTTTCAATACTCAAGTTTCTTAGTAATAAACTCCAGCCTGTTATAAAATACGTGCTTGTTGTTTGTGTGTTGTTGTTGCCACGGTGACGCGGCCCAAAACACCACAAGGCGACTTCAGTAGGATATTTACTGCAGGATGAAACCTTCAAGTTGCACCTGAAGCACCGAGCTCAGTAGTTTGTGTTGTTTGGAGACGACTCTGCGTTAACGTTCATACGGTTAATAAACCAAGTTATTTATTACTTATTTGTTTGTTTATTACAAACTTTGTCAACCAGCTGTAACACAGATGTTTTCTCTGCTAGTGACAAAACAAGTAAGTACATATAAATAATATGTAAATAGTACAGCATGTTTAAGAAGGATCATAGTATTTCATGTCAAAATAAACAATACAGCATGTTTATATTATGACGTGTTTAAAAATGTACAGTTGTTTCCAATAAAAGTGATTTATTAACATTAGAAACATACAATTATATTGCTGTTAAGCCAAAGTAATACGTGGACTAAATGTTGTACTATTATAGTGAATAAAAACACAAGTACTGATATTATCTGTCAGGATATTAAACATTTTCTCCAGAAGTTTGAATCATTAAAAAAAGCTTTTTGTTTAAAACAAACCTGATTATGTGAAATTATTTCTTAGTTCACTGAACAGTTTCTGAAAGATTAAGTTAAAATTGTCTTAAAAAAGAATTCGACATTTAAAGTGTTTCCCCTTGTTGTTATTAGCGTGAGTGGAAATGAAACACACACATAAGGACACATTTATCTCACATGGGGGCAGACGAGCATTTTATAAAACGTCTTCTTGAAGATATAAAGATGAAGATTAAAGCCTAATTAGGAGCCGATATCTAAACGATGATCTATTGATTCAAGGAGCACAGCAGCATTAAGCTGAGCTCCTTGACACGTCCACCTGAGTCCCAGAGAGCTGTGGACCCCCCAGAGTCCAGACCAGCTCAGGTACCCCTCACCTGCTCCACCTGCAGCTACACCCACATGAACCACCATCAGCTGTGTGACAGAGAGGAAGGTTCTCCACCAGGAGGAGACTCTCCCTCCTACAGAGAACACAGAGACACTGAGGAACCAGACCAGAACAAGACTCCAAACCCAGGATAAAGAGGTTCAGTGAATGTGGTGCTGAAGGTGCGGAGGTGGATCAGTGTGTCAGAGGAGACTCTGTAGAAGGACAGAGAGCCAGCAGGACAGTCCACATACACTGCTACTCTACCAGAGGAGGAGGAGAAGATGCGTGTTTCTGTCTTATTGTGACGGACAGAGTAACCGTCATCAGAGCACATCAGATTCCAGGACTGATCATTGAATCCAAACAAACAGTCATCACTGCGTCCTTTCCTCTTGATTCGTCTGTAACTCACTGATACATTAACGTATCCTCTCCACTCGACCTCCCAGTAACAGCGACCAGTCAGACCAGTTCTACACAGCAGATGACAATAGATGTCAAATCTGTCTGGATGATCAGGATATGACTGATCCTCCTTCACACATGTCACCTTCCTGTTGTTGTCAGACAGTTTGAGGTGTTTGTTTACTGTGTTTGTGTTGATTGTGAGTTCACAGGAATCTGATGAGAGAACAAGACACAAAACAGCTGCAGTTATTAATCATGTGTTCATCTACTGACACGTTGATGATGACATCACAGAGGTGAATGAGTGATGTCACAGTGTGAAGATGGTTGAATCTTCATGAATCAAAGCACACTTACACTTCCTCAGACCTGGTCTCAACCATCGGACTCCATCAGGCTCCACCCTGAAAGGAGGAGGGGGGTCAGAGCAGCATGGAGACATGGACATTACATCACTCTCACACACAGCTTTGTCCTTCATGTCCACATGGAGCACCTCTTCTTCTTCTACCACTACTTACAGACGACCACAGACTGTCAGTCAGGCGTCACACAGCGACGAGGTGCTGGAATATATTCATGGAATAAAGTAGATAAATGTGGAATAAATAATAAACGGACCTGTCACTGTACTTTCACCAGATGGGAATTAAAATGTGAGAAATGACGTCGTGCTGCAGATGAAGCTTCATGGGACGTGTGCAAAGGAACATTAACATTAAACCGTTTAATAAGCAAATATTCACTAAATATAGAAATAAAGACCATTCAGTATTTACAATGTTTCACAATGAACAAACAACACAAACAAAGAGAAGAAACGCACTCGTTAGTTTATTGGATTCACTGTTTGGTTTTTCACTCATTCACTTCCGTCCCGTTCTGCACTTTTACTGTGATATTACAGAACGTCCTCATGTAAAAACACTCAAGCGTCTGCAAACGGGTCGGCGTGTGGATTCAAGCCAAAGGTGTGATCATTGAATGTACTGTAGTATTCAGTCAGGTCACAGGCTGCTGATCATAATAGTACTATTATAATATAGTACTTTGTGTTCTCAGCGTGTCGAGGTGCAGAGTTACTAACGATTGTCACGTCATCAGCTGTTGTGTCAACACGCCTCATATGGTTTACAGGAGTAATCACATGATGTAGAGACAATGTCTTCATTAGAGTCAAAGGGACACAAGGACTGTTCATTGATGTTCACCCTCCAACACTGATGGACATTCAAGTAAAGGTAAGAAATACAACTTTAATATCACTTGTGATCATTTCAGCATTGATACAGTTTGATATCAGCTTTGTCTTCATTTGGATTTGATCTCGATTCCAATTTAAAGAGCCGCTCTGATTTTAATGTGACCTTCTGAAAAGGTTGAATAGATTTGATCTCCAGTGGTGGAACTAGATTGTATTTAAATGTCAGATAAGTGGGTTATTATTGCTTCAGGCTTTGAGTTAAGGTCCATCGTCACTACTAGTTAAAGTTTGAATGGTATTCAACGTTTAAACATAAGATTGATTATTGATTATCGTTGTGACTTTAGACTTTTACTTTCTTAACTTGAACTTCATTTTGCTTTTATGGATTTTCATTAGACGTTTATTTTAGTTTCCTCTTCTCTCTCCTGCGGCAGCGTTTACACCCTAAAAGTTTCATCTCAGCTTCGTGATTCTAACATTGAGTTGGATTGATTTTTAATTTGCTGAAAGCCGTAACTAGTTTGAGATGATCTGCGGTTTAGTTTGATTTGTACTGACGGCGTTCTGATCCGTGTTGTAGTTGTTATGTGACTCAGTGGTTTGATGGACTGGTTCCCTTTCAGGTCCACTGCTTTACTTTCCATTGCTGAGTTCACTTTGTTGTTTGGTGTTTTGCAGGTTTCATTAGTTTGACTTTACATCATTAGTCGTCTCCTCACAGTCAGTGACAGAGTAGCTCCTAAAGGACAGGAGGACATCTCAGGGGGGTTTAGATGCACCAGGTTGCATCATGGTCGTGTTTACGACTCAGGACCTGCTGAGTAGCACCAGAGAGAAGATGGAGGAGCAGACGGAGGCCAAAGGAAGAGAAGCAGTGGACGGACTTGAGAGCACGATGAGGAAACAGCTGAAGACACTTGTGAACATCAAGACGTCTGCAGCAGTAAACAAAGGACAGAGACAGGAGACAGACAAGGCCCGATACCCCGTTCCCCAAAGGCCCCAGATCCAGCAGGTAGGAACCGTTCGGTGGGACATCAGCACCCAGCAGCAGAGGACGAGGGACAACCGAGGGAGGACAGGTGGACCTTACATATGTGGACAGGAGGGACATTGGTGCAGAGAGAGTCCCAGGACACGCAACTAAACGCTCCTCCACGGCTGGAGGCTCCACCCACCTCCACCTCCCCTCCACCCACCTCACCTCCAACTCCACCCACCTCACCTCCACCCACCTCCACCTCACCTCCACCTCCACCCCACCCACCACCTCCACATCCACATCCAAAGAGGGAAAGTGTCATTAAAAGGTTGTGCAGGATTTAAATGAGGAATGAAGGTGATGAGAAATGAGGACAGTCGTTGGACATAGTGTCAGTTTTTGTATTAATGTTGTCGTGTTTTAGTCTCTAAGTTCTAACCTGAGTGTAAAGTGCCCGATACACTTGATACACAATCTGGATGATGGAAGCAAATGTCTGATCAAAGGAACATTGATAGCAGCAGTACATGAAATATGGACACTTTGTCACAGACGCTTCAACGCCTCCACACTTACATTTCAATACGCTGAACATGAGAGAAAAAGTCTGTCAGACAATCGCAGAGCGACGGAATGTGGAAGCATTTAAAAATATCTACTTACAGGAAAGTTGTAGACTGTTTGAGTTGCTTTTAATGATTGTTGATGTGTGAAGACGTTGAAGAACAGAAGTTGAGGGTGTTGAATGAGTCCAATCATTAGCAAGGTACTAAACTAAGCAGCATGAGACACATTCACAGGGGACATCTGGACAGACAGGAAGAGGAGTTCATCCTTTCATAGAATTATGCTTATTCAGATAACTAAAAGCATTTATCAGAATAGGAAGAATTGGTTTCAGAAGGCTAGAAGTTCTTGTATCTGCTGTTTCTATTTCAAGTAAAGCTACACAACAACACGGAGAGATTGTGTCCGTTTGTGAAGACGCCGGATGGCCTCTGATTCATGGAGGGAGATCTCCACAAACGAGGGTAACAAAGTCGTGGAGGAAAATACGGGACAAATGTGTCCTTGATGTAAAGCAGCAGTGTGGATGCACGGGGCAATTAAGTCTATGATAAATAAATAAACCCACCAACGACTTCCACACACAAAGACGTGACTCTCCAGGTCGTCTTCAACAAAACACGTTACTCCACCTGTTGTTCTGGAGGTGAATCGCTCTGCAACACACGCAAGACTTTACAACCAGGAAGTGAAACGATTGCGTCGGCACGACGACGCAGATGCAGAAACATGCGCCGGCCTTTATTCAGGCTTATTACACCGATAGAGTGGTGGAATGACGCGGATCAGCCAATCTGAACTCGACTTATGAATAAAAGAGGTAGAAACTTTACACGTGTACTGTCCCTGCTCTGGGTTATCACGTAGATATGGTTCTAGCCTCGTATTTCAATGTTTTAAGGGATTTATAAGGTTGTTTATGACATTTGTGAAGGCAAATCTGGTCGGAGGTCCAAAGGGTCTGACTATGACACTGCTGTTCACATCCCGTCTCCTAGCAACAGTCAACACTGGTTTCCATCACCTGTAGTCTGGAGGTGAAGGTGTTACAGCTCAGGTGGGTCTGCAGCCACAGAGCACTGTGGTCCAGTCCTAAACAAACCTCTTTGGGCCCTGACACACCAGGTCCACCATCAGCTGTGGTTCTTCACTGAGCATCTGTGGCCGACTGTCACCTGTAGCTTCAACAAGTCCACTCTCATCATCCAGGGAACCGTCTCTCAGTGCAAAGCACCAAAAGCAGGTGAAGCTGAACTCCTTTAAAACACCAAACGTTCCTCCTGTGATGATCCATCAAGACGCTTTGAACAGATTGTTTCTGACTGTTTGTCTCTTAATGACAATGTCTGGACTAAAGGACAAACACACACTGGAGGCAGATGACAAGCATCTAAACATCCAAGTGTTGTTTGTTAAGAGCCCACAAACCTGCAGCGTGACCACGTTGACTCATATCAACCCACCATGATGCCGTCAACGTGTCAGGAGACACTGTCCTCTCTTACAACAACAAGACAAGACTCCAAAGAAACAAGCCTTTCATCACCTTCCTCCCTGTTCAGGCTCATCCTGGCTACTGTTCCTCACTACTTCTGTCTTTGTTGATGGTCTCATGTGGGACACAAACAGTTAGATGAGTCTCTGGTAGTTTGAGGTCAGCTTGGTGTGTCAGGGTCTTATTAACCAGGCTGACAGTGGGACAGAGAAAAGGTTTCCAGCTCCTCTACAGACTGATGGTCTGTGGCTGCAGCCTCTTCATACCTGAGAGTCTCCAGTCTCCACTGAGGATCCTCCAGTCCAGCAGACAGCAGCTTCACTCCTGAGTCTCCTAGATGATTGTAGCTCAGGTCCAGCTCTCTCAGATGGGAGGGGTTGGAGCTCAGAGCTGAAGCCAGAGAAGAACAGCCTTCTTCTGTGATCAGACAGCCTGACAGCCTGCAGACACACAAAATAACACACATGTCACATGATCTGAGGGAGCTGTGAGGACTAGAAGGTCACTGCAGGACTGAGATACTATTTGGTACAGAGGGGTCACATTAACATGGTGTGATGTCACGAGAGGCTGGGTCCTGGACGGCTGGGTCCTGGCCTTCATAAGGGTTAGAGACAGACAGCCAGTGGGGTATGAGAGAGACCAGACCGCCGTAGGAGGATATCGTGGAGGAAGACTGTATATTCTTTTAGGGCGACTGTGGGTGAGTGGGGAGCACGGTCGTCCTCCAATCAGAGGATTGTCGGTTCGATCCCAGGCCCGGCTAACCTGCATGTCGTTGTGTCCTTGGGCAAGACACTTAACCCAACATTGCTCCTGTAGCTGCGACTACAGTGTGTGGATGTTAGCTACTGATGGCAGGTGTCACTGTGTATGGTTCTCCTGTCATCAGTGTATGAATGGGTGTGAATGGGTGAATGATGTCATGTAGTGTTAAAGCGCTTTGAGTGGTCAGAAGACTAGAAAAGCGCTATACAAGTCAGGCCATTTACCATTTATTCTTGTGAGTTGGATTTATGATTCCCCTCCAAAGACGAGACATTATTTAAGATCGACCGGAGCCTGAGTTACCCTTTTTGGACTACTGTTTTTGTTGATTCCAGAGAACGTGAATAAAACCTTCTGTTTATATTTGAAACTGGTGTCCTCTCACTGCTTGAACTACCCCGGTGAGAGCGGAGGCGCCTCTCATGACATCACAATGGTTACTGACTGGTTTTCAGTCACAACTAAACACCCACTAATGTACATCAACAAACTGATAATATTACTGACAACTATGATTAATCTCAAATATTTCAATTTGTAACATTATATTGGAAATCAACACTATCACATGTTTATGAAAATATTTGGAAATTACATATTTGATTTGAATCATTCAAGCAGAAAGTATCTTAAGAAGGTCAGAAAAATATCAGGGATATAAATAAACCAAGTGAACATTGATTGAATCCTGACCTGAGGGTCTCCAGGTCACAGCGTGGATTCTTCAGTTCAACACAAAGCAGCTTCACTCCTGAATCCCGCAGGTCGTTGTTACTCAGGTCCAGCTCTCTCAGATGGGAGGGGTTGGAGCTCAGAGCTGAAGCCAGAGAAGAACAGCCTTCCTCTGTGATCAGACAGACTGACAGACTATAAACACACAAAACAACACATGTCACATGATCTGAGGGAGCTGTGAGGACTAGAAGATCACTGCAGGACTGAGATACTGTCGGCTACTGAGGGGTCACATTAACATTGTTACTGACTGGTTTCCAGTCACAACTAAACACCCACTAATGTTCATCAACAATCTGACAATAATACTGAGAACATAAATATATACATAAAATAAATGTTTGTTGTAAATAAGGCAAGCAGAAAGAATCTTACGGAAGTCAGGAATTTAACTAAATAAAAGACACCGTGTTGAATCCTGACCTGAGGGTCTCCAGGTCACAGCGTGGATTCTCCAGTTCAACACACAGCAGCTTCAGTCCTGAATCCCGCAGTTTGTTGTTACTCAGGTCCAGCTCTCTCAGATGGGAGGGTTGGAGTTCAGAGCTGAAGCCAGAGAAGAACAGCCTTCTTCTGTGATCAGACAGCCCGACAGCCTGCAGACACACAAAACAACACACATGTCACATGATCTGAGGGAGCTGTGAGGACTAGAAGGTCACTGCAGGACTGAGATGCTATCAGGTACAGAGGGGTCACATTAACATGGTTACTGACTGGTTTCCAGTCACAACTAAACACCCACTAATGTTCATCAACAATCTGACAATAATACTGAGAACATAAATATATACATGAAATAAATGTTTGATGTAAATATTGCAAGCAGAAAGAATCTTACGAAAGTCAGGAATTGAACTAAATAAAAGAAACCGTGTTGAATCCTGACCTGAGAGTCTCCAGGTCACAGTATGGACTCTCCAGTCCAGCACACAGCAGCTTCAGTCCTGAATCCTGCAGGTGGTTGTTACTCAGGTCCAGCTCTCTCAGACTAGAGGACCGTGAGCTGAGAACTGAGGACAGAGCTTCACAGCTTCTCTCTGAGAGGTTACAGTCACTCAGTCTGAAGAAACAACAATGAAGAAAATATAAACAATAAGTAGAAAAGATGGCAGCATGTTTAAGTCATGATGTATGCATCTAACTCTCTGTACTTACAGAGCTTTGTTGGAGGCTTTGACCACTGGCAGCAGCCTCAGAAGAGCCGCCTCTGAAGCAGAGTATTTCTTCAGGTCAAACACCTCCAGATCTTCTTCTGATGACAGTAAGATGAAGACCAGAGCTGACCACTGAGCAGGAGACAGTTTATCTGTGGAGAGACGTCCTGAACTAAGGGACTGTTGGATCTCCTCCACTAGAGAAACATCATTCAGTTCATTCAGACAGTGGAACAGGTTGATGCTTTTCTCTGGAGACACATTCTCACTTATCTTCTCCTTGATGTACTGGACTGTTCTCTGATTGGTCTGTGAGCTACTTCCTGTCTTTGTCAGCAGACCTCGTAGAAGAGTCAGATTGGTCTCCAGGGAAAGACCCAGGAAGAAGCGGAGGAACAAGTCCAGGTGTCCATTAGGACTCTTTAAGGCCTCGTCCACAGCACTCTGGTAGAGATGCTGTGGTTCAGGATTGGGTTTAGAGCGTTTAGACTGGTGGGAGGTTTGTTCTTCTGACAGCAGATTGACACCAGAGCTGTAGAAGGTCAGATGGACATGAAGAGCAGCCAGAAACTCTTGAACACTCAGATGGACGAAGCAGAACACCTTGTACTGGTACAGTTCGCTCTCCTCTCTAAAGATCTGAGTGAACACTCCTGAGTACATTGAGGCTGCTTTGATATCGATGTCACACTCTGTCAGGTCGGATTCATAGAAGATCAGCTTGCCTTTCTGCAGCTGATCAAAGGCCAGTTTTCCCAGAGACTCGATCATCTTCCTGCTCTCTGGACTCCAGTGTGGATCCGTCTCAGTTCCTCCATCGTACTTGACCTTCTTCAATTTGGACTGAACCACCAGGAAGTGAATGTACATCTCAGTCAGGGTCTTGGGCAGCTCTCCTCCCTCTCTGGTCTTCAACACATTCGCCAGAACTCCAGCAGTGATCCAGCAGAAGACTGGTATGTGGCACATGATGTGGATGCTTTGTGAGGTCTTGATGTGTGAGATGATCCTGCTGGCCTGCTCCTCATCTCTGAACCTCTTCCTGAAGTACTCCTCCTTCTGGGGGTCAGTGAACCCTCTGACCTCTGTCACCATGCCGACACACTCAGGAGGGATCTGATTGGCTGCAGCAGGTCGTGTGGTTATCCAGAGGCGAGCAGAAGGAAGCAGCTTCCCACTGATGAGGTTTGTGAGGAGCACATCCACTGAGGCCGACTCTGTGACATCAGTCAGGATCTCATTTTTGTGGAAGTCCAGAGGAAGTCGACACTCATCCAGACCGTCAAAGATGATCATTACCTGGAACTCTTCAAACCTGCAGATTCCTGCAGCTTTGGTTTCACTGAAGAAGTGATGAACAAGTCCCACCAAGCTGAACTTCTTCTCTCTCTGCACATTCAGCTCTCTGAAGGTGAATGGAAATGTGAACTGTATGTCCTGGTGGTCTTTGTCTTCAGCCCAGTCCAGAGTGAACTTCTGTGTTAAGAGAGTTTTCCCAATGCCAGCCACTCCCTTAGTCATCACTGTTCTGATTGGTTCCTCTCCTCCAGCTGAGGCTTTGAGGAGGTCTTCTAGTCTGATGTTTTTTTCTAGTCTGTCTGGTTTCCAGGATGCTGTTTCAATCTGTCTGATCTCATGTTCTTCATTGACCTCAGCAGTCCCTCCCTCTGTGATGTAGAGCTCTGTGTAGATCTCATTCAGAAGGGTTGTCTTTCCTGCTTTAGCGATCCCCTCAAACACACGCTGGAACTTCTTCTTCAGGTTGGATTTGAGTTCACGTTGACAGTTGGTGATATTCTCTGAATGAACAGAAAAAGACACAAACCAGATAGTGCTTTACTTTAATGGTGTAATATTTCCTTTGGATTAAGTTATTAATTGTATTTTTCTGCATTCCTATCTGAAGCTACACGAATTTTGACTGTGAGAACTTGACAATCGAGAACTATGACTGAAATATCTGAAATCTGATATCTGAAATATGCTGGTCAAAGTATCTCAGTTTTACTTGCTTTGTGCTTTTCTGAGTTGATTAAACATGGCATACTTCCTGGGTCCATGTTGTCTGTTTTGCTGGTGTCTGTAGTTAAAAATAAGACTGGTAAATTAACTAGTATAGATAACTATAGACCTATTGCTCCTGCTAGTATACTATCCAAGGTACTAGAAGGGATTTGTATGGATAGGACTGCAGAATACATAGCATCAACAGATAATCAGTTTGGTTTTAAGAGCAAGCATGGAACTGATCTGTGTATATGCACTTAAATAAATTGTCCATAGGTACAGATGACGCAATAGCACAGTATTTATGTGTTTCCTGGATGCATCAAAGGCTTTTGATCGTATCAATCATGGGAAACTGTTTGGTAAACTACATGAGGTGGGGTTCCCTTTTACCTAATTAGGATACTGCAGTTCTGGTACTCTCACCAAACTATGCAAGTCAGGTGGGGGACGAGTTTGTCAACCCTGTTCTATGTATCCAATGGTGTGCGGCAGGGCGGGATTCTGTCTCCGCTCCTATTCAATCTGTACATGGATGATTTATCCAGGGAGCTAAAGGGCTGTAGAACTGGCTGCTTGGTGGGGGATAGTCTACTTAATCATATGCCTTATGCTGATGATTTGGTGGTACTGTCTCCCTCCAGTGCTGGCCTACAGCAACTTCTTAGAATATGCTCTCAATATGGACTGATGTTTGATATAAAATGTAACTCTATGAAGAGTGTGGCAGTGATTGCCAAAACCAAGGAGGAAATGAAGTGTGTCTATCCTTCTTTCTCATTGGCAGGTGAACCACTAGATGTTGTAAATAAAGTCAAATATCTAGGACATGTGATCAGAGATGACCTGTGTGATGATGATGATGATGATGATGATTTGCAGCGTCAGAGTGGAAAATTGTATGGGCAGGCGAACATGCTGGCACGCACATTTCACATGTGCACTTCTGATGTTAAAATCGCACTTTTCAGAACCTATTGCGCCCCACTGTATACTGCCCACCTGTGGTGTCATTTTAGTAAGTCGAAGATGAAAAAACTTCAAGTGGCTTATAATGATGCACTGAGAATTGTGCGTAAAGTCCCTCGGTGGAATAGTGCCAGTCAAATGTTTGTGTCCAATAAAGTGCCCACTTTTAAAGCTGTTTTAATAAATTGTATGTAAAGATTCATGTGCAGATTGACAGGGTCTAAGAATATGATTGTTGTGTCCTTAGTGGATGTCTCCAAGAGTGACACAAGGTACACATCGTGCTTCTGGAGACATTGGACCCGAAGCCTGTATAAATTTTTATAATTGATGCCTCGTCTGCATCATTCTTAAATGTTGTTTGTATTGTTGTTTTTTATGTGTATGTATTCTCTATGGACCTCTGTGTGTGGAATAAAGTTGATTGATTGAATATGACCACGGAAATAATTGAAGTGTGCAATAATTAGATGGTGGTACAAAAAGTCTCTTCACCTTGACCTCCATCTCCTCCCACAGGATTCGGTTCGCCTGAAACAAGATGTTTTCTGTGTTTACTTTGTGCATTTGTAGAGTGATAATAGCTGGTATATTTAGCCTGTGCTGAAATTAAAATCTACACTTAATAGTGGAATAGTTTCGCTTAATGACTGAACACCCTATTATACATACTTTATAGTTTACAGCTATACTATAGTTATAGTTTTTAATCCCTAATCCAAGGGTGGTGCCCGGCTGTTATTAACATTTGTCAAGGATGGTATTAACATGAATAATCTGTTGTATCTTTATTATACACATCTGATGTCTTTCTTCTGCTTTTTAACAACTTACCCGTAGGGTTAAAGTTCATTTTGGATAATTTTTCGGCCAGATCGTTCCTTTGAATCTCTTTCAAAACCTCCTCGGCCACCTGAACAGAGTCTTTGCCGTAGTACTGCACCATCAGGTCCACCGTGTTCTCCCTGTTTTTGTTCTCCAGGTCACTGCGTGGGATTGATCCGAGGTGTTCCGGGCTTCGATGGTTCTCCAGGTGCCACTTGAATACTTCAAAGTCCTCCTTCTTGAGATCCTTTAGAATTTTGAAGATCTCCTTCTTGACTTTCTCCATCTGGCCTTTTTAAAGACACCCAAATAAACATCATTCACACAGAACAATTACTGCTCTGCATTTAAAAAGAAGCGTGTTTTAAAGATGGAGTTTTGTCGGTTCATTGGTTTTGATACACAATAAAATAGAATTCTTCTCCCTCTTTCTAAGCACCTCTGATGAAGTCAGCGTCCTCTTTGTGGAAACAAGTTGGATGAATCTGTGAATATTGGGGAAGTGTGAAGGTGGTTCACAGCTTCACCTGCAACAACAGAAATGCCGTGTAATTTGTATTCATCAAACAAACTCAATTCATAATCAAACTAATCATGAAGCAGGAAGTATATGGAGCCAAATCCAGGACAAAGCTTTTGATCTTTCGAAATAGAGATTTGAAAAAAAACGTATTCAAAATAAAATTAAGATGATTTAGTTCTTATAAGATATTTATTTTCATTATTTTCTAGATTAATAATCACATTATTTTCTATATATATTTATTTTCATTATTTTCTAGATAAATAATCACATTATTTTCTATATATATATATATATAGATATAGATATTTAGGTTCCTTTCATTATTCAGTTGTAGATTTCATATTTTCCGATTCAACTATTCAATCGTTTTTTCACTGTCAGACTTTTGGCCCTGAAAGGGGGCGTGGCATCAACCGAGAGGGGCGTGGCATCATGAGTGACAGCTTAACAAAGAAGGCTGAAAAGTTTCCTCAACCGTGTTGCCTTCAGGAAGCGTAGGCACTGTGGTAATTATGAATCCACACTTTCTATACACCACATTCACGTGATTGGCAGTAAGACAATTTACACCAGTGACAAAGTTCTACTTAGCGAGCTGTTTTAACACGAATCACAGAATAAGAGCAATAAACTCAGATAGTAGCGTTCAACAACCACGTTTGAATCTCTGAACCACTGTGAACGCAGAGTAGCATCCATGTGATGGAGTCGGCTCCACCCGATCACGTGAACATGGTGTATAGCGATATAAACACAATCAAACAGGAACAGCTAAACACACACAACGTGATGAACCATAAGCATGTGACAGCAGATACGTGTGAGCTTGCTTTCTGAATGTGGACACACGTGAAGGACGTCCAGTCATCCGACAGCTTGTCGCAGAGAGCAGGACGTCTTTGACTGAAGGAACCCACAGTGGATATTTGGAACGGCTAAAACAACTTGAACCCTCTGACTTGAGGTATTTTCCAACATGAGGCAAACCAGTCGTACCAGATGGGTGTGTGTTTGTGTGTTAGTACACGTGTAGATGTGTGTGTGAACGGGTTTTTCTCCATTGTTGGTGTGGTTACGATCAGGAGTCCTGATGTCTGATCTATGAACGGCTTATCTGCACTTCCTCTCCAACAAGTAAAGATAATATATATATTTACGTAGTAAGTATGTGCATTAGGTGCTATAATGTCTTTGGGGGCACGACTCTGTTTGAAAGGTCGTGTTTCATCAAGATTAGAAATATGAAGCAGTTTGAGGTTGATAGAACTAAATAAGTGAATATGGTGACTAAAAGTGTTGATTCATAATTCCAGATTTCCTGAAGGCAACGCGGTGAGGAAGGTTTTCAGCCTTCTTTGTTAAGCTGTCAATCATGATGACACGCCCCTTTCAGCTGATGCCACGCCCCCTGAGCCATATCAGGGCCAAAAGTCAAAAACATTTGTATCCGAAAATATAAAATCTTCAACTGCAAAATTTAAAACCTCGAATGTAAATAAAAAATATATCGTGCCCCTCCGTCTGCTACCTTCCCCTCTTCATCGGTGACAGTCAAACACTCTAAAAAGTGACTAGATGTGTTCTGTGGAGCAAACAGAGCGTCTCTCAGGTGTGTTTGAAGAACAAAGGCCCAGGTGAGCTCTGTGGTCCCTGCTGGGTCCTAGTGCCCCTCCACTGCTACCTTTCCCTCCTCATCAGTAACAGTCCTCACAGACCCCAGATCAGACTGAGCTCCTCTTCTTCATCACAGCGTCATCGTTCAGACTAACAGCAGCTCCTCTCTGCCTGCTCACACAGGCGCCATCTTGTTTCCCAGCTTTAAACAATCACACGTCCACAAGCATCAATGATGTCATTCAACCAATCACAGCTGCACTTACTGACCTTGTAGACATGAACTTCCTCAGTGAGCAGCTCTCTTCTGTCCTCAGCAGGTCCGTGTAGAAAAGCAGCTCCGTGCTTCACTTCAGCTTCCATCAGACGGAGTGAAGTGACGCAGCTTGTTGGAGCTTGTTGTCCTTCATCAGAAAGGGTGCGTCCTCAATGTCACCATCAAAGTATGCAGTCTGACTGGTGCACGTCCCTCTTTGTCTCCTGGTCTTCTTCTACATGTAGACTAGTAGGGAACACGTGATGAAGCAGAAACCTTTGTAACAAATGTTGTGAAGAGTTCATATTGAATAAAAACATCCACTGAGACAACAGAGTCTGAGCTCAGAGTGTTTTTATTCACAACCAGTCTCACAGCAAAACGTGTAGCTGTGGAACGTGGTATTGTCACGCTTTCTCTCCAAAATCGTGACATACTACGTTTTATTTGGCCCATTCATTTACATCGCCTTGCAACTACGTCACTAGAAACTAATTAACGGAAGGTCGTCTACGTTCTCTGATAGAAGATTATGAAAATATAACGCAGACTTCTCGCTAGAAATGCCATCGAAATGCACACAAATGCTGATGCTTTCTTAAAATATTGCGTTTTTCACAGATAACAGACAGACAGTCGGCCATTTTCTTTTTTTTGAGCAGTTATTCTTCTCTCCACTTCAGGTTGAACCTGTCGGGGCGGAACAACTCGCCCACGTATCAGTGTGAAGCTGCGTGTTGAATCATTTACTGCAGCTTCCTCACAAAGTACATGTTGTTACATGAAGGATTCTACTTCCTCATCACATGGCACCTTGAACCCTCTGGCTCCTACATCTGCTGTGCAAAGGATTGTGGGTAAGAAAAGCCAGTAAAGAAGCCTGCTTGCATGATGTACAATGTGACTGAATGTAGTACACACACACTGCAGCGTCTCTGAGTATGTGTGTGTGTGTGTGTGTGTGTGTGTGTATGTGTGTGTGTGTGTGTGTGTGTATGTGTGTGTGTGTGCGTGTGTGTGTATATATGTGTGTGTGTGTGTGCGTGTGTGTATATGTGGACTTTTAAATACTTCTTAATAACTCTGTTTCACTTGGGTGGAGCTGGTGGAGTTGTTCAGGTAACAGGTGAAGTTGACCTCCACCCACTGAGGTGCTGATGTCATCACCTGATACACTGATGGTTCCTCAGTGATCACCTGACCTTTTTATCCACATGTGGACCAACAAATGTCCCTCTTACCTTGTTTCCTAAATGAACATGTCTTAGAGTCTAAGAGCCTTTTGATGAGTCTGGTATTTTTCTGTCAAAGTTTGACCCCCAAATGTCTCTCTGAAAAAGACAAGAAAGGACACAGAGAAAGGTGACTTGTGGAATTGAATGTTGTGAAATATTTGTTAGTTTTTTAATTGTTGTGTACACTAGTACACATGTACATAAGTCTACGTATAAGTACTTCTTATATTTCCAAGAAAAGATCAAACTTCATCAAGAAAGACTTTGATTTCCAGCAAATGAGTCCAAACGTATCGAGTGCAAATAAAACCAATATAAACCACCAAGACGATCAACAAGTAAGAGTTGAGGGTTCGCTGGAATCCGCAAGGTTGGCGGTTCAACCCCGGCTGCTCCATGTCCCATGCTGAAGTGTCCCTGAGCAAGACACATGACCCCTAAAAGCCAGGAGTTAAAAATGTAATCGCTTTGGATAAAAGCATCAGCTAAATGACCTGTAATGAAGCTTCAGCATGTTGAGAGAATAACATCATATTTATTCCACCTTCATCTGCAGCTTGAGTCACTTTATACATTTAGAGTTTTACGTATGTTGAGTTGATGAATAACGTTTTTCAATCAGAAAGGTTTCAGCGTATAATAAATAATGTTTGTGTATCAGTAAGAATATTGAGGTTTGGACCAAACAAACTTTGCATACGTGTCACTTTGGGGTAATTGTGACACCATTTCTCACCATTTCTCGTAGAGAACAATTACTACTCTGGATTTCAAAAGCAGCGTGTTTTAAAGATGGAGTTATATTAGTTCATTAGTTTGGATTCACAATAAAATAGAATTCTTCTCCCTCTTTCTAAGCACCTCTGATGAAGTCAGCGTCCTCTTTGTGGAAACAAGTTGGATGAATCTGTGAATATTGGGGAAGTGTGAAGGTGGTTCACAGCTTCACCTGCAACAACAGAAATGCCGTGTAATTTGTATTCATCAAACAAACTCAATTCATAATCAAACTAATCATGAAGCAGGAAGTATATGGAGCCAAATCCAGGACAAAGCTTTTGATCTTTCGAAAAAGAGAATTGAAAAAAAACGTATTCAAAATAAAATTATGATTTAGTTCTTATAAAATATTTATTTTCATTATTTTCTAGATAAATAATCACATTATTTTCTATATATATTTATTTTCATTCTTTTCTAGATATATAATCACATTATTTTCTATATATATTTATTTTCATTCTTTTCTAGATATATAATCACATTATTTTCTATATATATATATATATATATATATATATATATATATATATATATTTAGGTTCTTTTCATTATTCAGTTGTAGATTTCATATTTTCCGATTCAACTGTTCAATCGTTTTTTCACTGTCAGATTTTTGGTCCTGATAAGGGGGCGTGGCATCAACCGAGAGGGGCGTGTCATCATGAGTGACAGCTTAACAAAGAAGGCTGAAAAGGTTCCTCAACCGTGTTGCCTTCAGGAAGCGTAGGCACTGTGGTAATTATGAATCCACACTCTCTATACACCACATTCACGTGATTGGCAGTAAGACAATTTACACCAGTGACAAAGTTCTACTTAGCGAGCTGTTTTAACACGAATCACAGAATAAGAGCAATAAACTCAGATAGTAGCGTTCAACAACCACGTTTGAATCTCTGAACCACTGTGAACGCAGCGTAGCATCCATGTGATGGAGTCGGCTCCACCCGATCACGTGAACATGGTGTATAGCGATATAAACACAATCAAACAGGAACAGCTAAACACACACAGTGATGAACCATAAGCATGTGACAGCAGATACGTGTGAGCTTGCTTTCTGAATGTGGACACACGTGAAGGACGTCCAGTCATCCGACAGCTTGTCGCAGAGAGCAGGACGTCTTTGACTGAAGGAACCCACAGTGGATATTTGGAACGGCTAAAACAACTTGAACCCTCTGACTTGAGGTATTTTCCAACATGAGGCAAACCAGTCGTACCAGATGGGTGTGTGTTTGTGTGTTAGTACACGTGTAGATGTGTGTGTGAACGGGTTTTTCTCCATTGTTGGTGTGGTTACGATCAGGAGTCCTGATGTCTGATCTATGAACGGCTTATCTGCACTTCCTCTCCAACAAGTAAAGATAATATATATATATATATTTACGTATTAAGGATGTGCATTAGGTGCTATAATGTCTTTGGGGGCACGACTCTGTTTGAAAGGTCGTGTTTCATCAAGATTAGAAATATGAAGCAGTTTGATGTTGATAGAACTAAATAAGTGAATATGGTGACTAAAAGTGTTTATTCATAATTCCAGATTTCATGAAGGCAACGCGTTGAGGAAGGTTTTCAGCCTTCTTTGTTAAGCTGTCAATCATGATGACACGCCCATTTCAGCTGATGCCACGCCCCTTAAGCCATATCAGGGCCAAAAGTCAAAAACATTTGTATCCGAAAATATAAAATCTTCAACTGAAAAATATAAGACCTCGAATGTAAATAAATAAACATATAGTGCCCCTCCGTCTGCTACCTTCCCCTCTTCATCGGTGACAGTCAAACACTCTAAAAAGTGACTAGATGTGTTCTGTGGAGCAAACAGAGCGTCTGTCAGGTGTGTTTCAAGAACAAAGGCCCAGGTGAGCCCTGTGGTCCCTGCTGGGTCCTAGTGCCCCCGTCTGCTACCTTCCCCTCCTCATCAGTAACAGTCCTCACAGACCCCAGATCAGACTGAGCTCCTCTTCTTCATCACAGCGTCATCATTCAGACTAACAGCAGCTCCTCTCTGCCTGCTCACACAGGCGCCATCTTGTTTCCCAGCTTTAAACAATCACACGTTCACAAGCATCAATGATGTCATTAAACCAATCACAGCTGCACTTACTGACCTTGTAGACATGAACTTCCTCAGTGAGCAGCTCTCTTCTGTCCTCAGCAGGTCCGTGTAGAAAAGCAGCTCCGTGCTTCACTTCAGCTTCCATCAGACGGAGTGAAGTGACGCAGCTTGTTGGAGCTTGTTGTCCTTCATCAGAAAGGGTGCGTCCTCACGTCACCATCAAAGTATGCAGTCTGACTCGTTGACTGAGTCTCAGTCTGAGCTGTTCAAGGGTCAAAGGTGAACAGAATCCTCCTCACTGCTCGAACAAGAGTCTTTTAGGATCAAAACCAGCATCAGTGGAACGATCCTTTCACCTTGTAAAGAGTTGCTATGGCAACAGACTGGATGCTGTAGTTTGGACCAGATGGTCCAGAGGACCCGTGCACGTCCCTCTTTGTCTCCTGGTCTTCTTCTACATGTAGACTAGTAGGGAACACGTGATGAAGCAGAAACCTTTGTAACAAATCTTGTGAAGAGTTCATATTGAATAAAAACATCCACTAAGACAACAGAGTCTGAGCTGAGAGTGTTTTTATTCTTCACTCCTCTTTGATGATCAGGTTGAACCTGTCGGGGCGGAACAACTCACCCACGTATCAGTGTGAAGCTGCGTGTTGAATCATTTACCTTTATGACAAACTGCAGCTTCCTCACAAAGTACATGTTGTTACATGAAGGATTCTACTTCCTCATCACATTGCACCTTGAACCCTCTGGCTCGTACATCTGCTGTGCAAAGGATTGTGGGTAAAAAAAGCCAGTAAAGAACATTCACAATCCCCTCTCACCCGTCACCCAAGATGGATAAAACCGCCACTGTCAAAACAATCTGGAGGAAGTAAAGAAAGAAAATATATATTTTTACTATTGATTTTTCTTTATGTGTTCTTTTGATTTTTTTTGGTGGCAACATGTTATCCACAGCGGTTTAACATAAGTAGATCAAAAAGTGGAGGAAAGGGATTTAATTTTCCTTTAGTCCTTTTTGCACCGTTGCAACTCTCCAGTTGGAGGTTGGTGGAGGCTGGATTTCTGGGGATCTCACCAGAGCGTGGAGACGAAGCGTCTGGCTACGTGTGGTAAGACGGCAATAGTTGGGACGAGGTTGGGAGGCTGATGTCTTTGTCCTGGGTGATGGAGTGGGGGAATTGCAGCGGCTTTTTGGGGATTTGGCCCTTTTTCGTTGATGAGGAAAGTGAACCGGCGTTGACGGTTTGTCGGGTGAACTGTGGTTGTTGTCACTTCTTCTTCTTCTTCTTTTTTTTTCTCCCTGAGGCAGCTGAAGAAATTCAACCTGCCAAAGACGATGATGGTCCACTTCTACACGGCCATCATGGAGTCCATCCTCTGCTCCTCCATCACCGTCTGGTACGCTGCAGCCACAGCCAAGGACGAGGGCAGGCTGCAGCGTCCTCTTTCTTTCATGTGGTCCTTGGAGGCGGATCTCAAGATCTTCTTGATCACCTTGACTCCTGATCAAAGACGCTATTCCGTCGTGGGTAGTTTGAGAGGCCAGGATCTGCTTGAGAGAGGAGAAGTGACGAGATCTTTTTTAGCAAACCGGACCCAAGATATATCGTCTTTGTCTCTAGATCTCGGTTTTGCAAATGTTTATCTTTGGAGTTAGTGGTTACTTTCTTGTTCTGACAAGGTTTGAACTCTGATACTGCGAAATATTCATTTTTATGCGTTTTAGTGCTGAGAACTGGAGACTGAGGGTTGTGTCTCGAGGAGCCTGAATTAAAGTAGGAGCTAGCGCAAATCGTGGCACTGGCAACCCGCCGAGGCCCTTCCTGTTGCAGGTTGCGGTGCCGCGGCGAATCGTGGCAAGTGCCTCGACACTGCGGCAGTTGCCACAATTTCACGACAGCTGCCTCGACTTTGCGCCAGACAGTTTCATTTCCCAAATATGTGATATGTTTGTTTTATAATTTTGCCAATATGTGACAATACAATACTGCCTTTAAAAGTACTAGTGTTGGTAGTTATTTTAGTAATAAAAGCCAATAAATTATACAACGGCTTCCCATTTTAGTGCAGCTAAGCGAATATGGACTAAGATCACTTGCCGCCCTGGTTACAATCTCTACTTTCGAGAACTAATCAATGCGTATGTGATTATATGAACAAACAATAACACTGGGTGGGTGCCATCAAGACGTGTCTAAAATTGAATGTCGGTATATAATATGAGTTACCAGTATTTTCATTTAAATTAATGTTGACTACAATTGTTGACAAAAGATTTGCTGAGCGTGATTGTGTGCATGA